CCCACCACCACACACACACACACACACACACACACACACACACACACACACACTTACGCTGTTATACCTCCTTTTTGTATATTTGTGAGAGTTGTACATTTATCAAACTTTAAAATTTAATTGTCCAGATACGTGTTTACACCGCAGCGGAACCACTCTTTCCGACTCAAGCTACTACCGTGTCCCGTGATGCCCAATTTAATTCCATGCACACTAATATTCCACGTAATGTCCTACTTATATTATTAATATCCTACTTCTATTATTATTAATATCCTTAATTATTCTGATAAGTATTTTCATAATGACATTTAACTTATTACGTTTTACAGAGAGAAGACAAAGAGGTACGCGGGCAGGGGCACATCGGCAGCAAGAGCGCTTCATGCGTTTCCTCTACCAATTGTCTTCGGCCCATTATAATTGGGGGCATAAAAGACGTAATACATATCAGGTTTTAATTTTTTCACATCCGTCAAAAATACATTTTATAAAATTTATTTAATACTAAAACAAATTTTAATTTTTCTTTTTTAGCAACGTCCTCCGCCATCTGAACAAAAATAGTGCTATTGTGATTGGAACTCGAGCGTTATTTTAGAAGAAAAGTCTGTTGCTCTGTGATTTATGCTAAGTTTGTACTGTTTTTAAGTTTGTTGTGTATGTGTTCATTTGTCATGCGTACGTAAGATGAGATTATATGATTTTTCAATGTGTTATGTACATATGAGATTATGTAAAACTTACATATAAGATTAATTTTTTTTGCTTCCATGCGTAATGTAACTTACACATAAAATAAGATAAATATGTGAAAGATTTTGAAAAAATATATATATAGTATAAAACTTTAAATAAAATTTTTAAAAGAATAAATAATATAAACAATTGTATTCCTTTCTGCTTATCATCATCTGCGCATCATTTTCTGCTTTACTCTTCAGTCTCTCTTTCTCTTCCTTTAACCTTTTCAGAACATCCATCTCCATTACATAATAACTATCAGTAATATTATAATTAATTTTTTTATTCCTATTAACTTGT